ATTCTTTTTTCATTACAATTAGACTCAGGAGTGGTTTTTCCCTTGTTACATTAAAGCAGGAAGTATTGACCATTCTTTTTTCATTACAATTAGAATCAGGAATGGTATTTCCCTTGTTACATTGAAACAGGAAATATTGACCATTCTTTTTTCATTACAATTAGAATCCGGAGTGGTTTTTCCATTGCTACCACGAAGCAGGAAATAATTCAACAAAAGCAATCAAAGCTATGCCATCACTATATGTATGTTAGTCTACAGCAATATCAATATTGTAAAGGGATGGGTAAAAATGACCTAACATGGAATTGTCTGAGGACACTAAAAGTTATATATTGTAAAGGGATGGGTAAAAATGACCTAACATGGAATTGTCTGAGGACACTAAAAGTTATATATTGTAAAGGGATGGGTAAAAATGACCTAACATGGAATTGTCTGAGGACACTAAAAGTTATATATTGTAAAGGAATGGGTAAAAATGACCTAACATGGAATTGTCTGAGGACACTAAAAGTTATATATTGTAAAGGGATGGGTAAAAATGACCTAACATGGAACTGTCTGAGGACATTAAAAGTTATATATTGTAAAGGGATGGGTAAAAATGACCTAACAACATGGAATTGTCTGAGGACACTAAAAGTTTTATATTTTTATAGATTAGAATGTTGCGTATCTCATAGCTACATTGTTTCAGATGCTTTCAAGCCCATGATTAACAGGTAATGCTTTTGATTGATTTGGTTTGAGTCCTTGTTGGTTTAGTAAATTGAGTAGATACTGATAATTGATTTCTCTGTATTAAAGGTAGACCATAGTGGTATATGGATAGATTCATTCTTGGTTTTGTTGACACCAACACATTTATGCAATATGTTCAGCCTTATGCTGCAGGAAAATATACAATAGATATCTGGAATTTTATTTACATAATGCTGGAATGCTGATAATGTGATACATTGGAATTTTTAAGTCACAATTTAGGGATTGTTAAAGCGATGATTGATTATTTGCCCAAAGCACATTACATATGCAGTAAATCATTGCAGTCCAAACAATAATTAGATTAAAATCCACTCATTTTTTTGAAACTTCATTAGATTGGGGGCAAAAAATATAATTGTAGGTGGGTTTACTTATAAGGACAGGTTTGAAATTATTTCTTATGGTATTAATCCTTCACTTTAATTTTTAGGACAGGTTAATATAATTTAAACTTCTATCTTTAATCTTTCAGCTCTATTCAGGATATAAATATATTTGTATGATATGAAGGTTAAAAGAAAAAAATATGTTAACAACTGATTGAAAGTTGACTTTGGATGGTTTTGGTTGTTCAATTTAGGCATATGAGTTTTAATGCTCCAGGGTTTTGGTTGTTCAATTTAGGCATATGAGTTTTAATGCTCCAGGGTTTTGGTTGTTCAATTTAGGTATATGAGTTTTAATGCTCTTAAATCATTTCATATATTATTTGGATATATCATTTTGGACAATATAACTTTTTGAATATATCTAGCAAATTAATTCACACTAAATATATAAACAATTTGTATGTTAGCCAAAAAATGCTTCTGATGGAAAATTGTTCAATTATTTGAAATTTAAACAAAATTTTGGCTATGAAAATTATCTCTCTTTGGTTAAGAACTTTGAATTTAGAAGAGCTATTTGTAAATTACGTATATCTGCTCACAAACTTCAAATAGAATTTGGCCGTTTTTCAAATATTCCACGAAATGAAAGAATTTGCAAAAACTGCTCCTCTGGCTGTATTGAAGATGAAATCCATTTTTTAACTTCATGTGAAAAATTTAACTCTGATAGAGATGCTCTCTTTGACTTTGTTTGCCATAAAATGCCAAACTTTACTTTACTGGACAATCAGCAAAAATTCATATTTTTATTGAGCTTTGATTTAGACAATCAGGTACTTAATGCTGTTGGAAAATTTATTCAAGTCAATAGGAGTTAGATGTATTTATTTCTCATATAAATATATTATACATGTTATATACTTTAAACCAAGGGCTTTTTTACAGTCTAATTGTATTGTAATTGTGTATTTAAAATCTATGTATCTATGCTAATCAATGTTCTTTTTCCTTATAATATAATATATATATTGGTAATAATATATATCTTATCTTATATTAGGCTTCTGAACCTTTTTGTCAAGAGCACACTTGTTAAAGGTTATTTTAGAAATAAGCTTACAGACCAAAGGTTTAAATACGTTGATTCCCGGTTTTATGCAAAATATTGAGTTATGATACTACCTTTGAACGTTAATGCAGTTTTTCCAGCTCTATGTTATTCCATACAGGTAAACGTAATTTTTGTCCTTTTTATATAAAGATAGCATTTTCTTATTTAATGCATAAAAATTGACACTTCTTGTTTACAGATGGCAGAGTAAAGTTGTTGCTTCAAAGATGATAATTTTTTTGTCACTTCAAAGATGAAAATATTTTTGTCACTTCAATGATGAAATTTTTTTGTCACTTCAAAGATGAAAATGTTTTTACTTGTTGTTTTTCAGAGATTACAATGTTTTTTAGTTGCTTTATCAGTGACAATGTTTTTTCTTGATGCTTGAAAAATTGAAAACATTTTTGTTTTAATTTTTATTTGGACTTGACACAACTTTTTTTTCTTCAGAGCCAACTGTTATGTTTGGGTCAGATAGAGACAACAATGTTTTCTTGTTTCCTGAAGATGTTGTGTTGTTTCATAAATTACTATGTTCTTGTTGTTTCATAAATTACAATGTTCTTGTTGTTTCATAAATTACAATGTTTTTAAAAATTACACTTTTTGTATCAAAATTACTACAATGTCTCTTGTATCTAAATTCCAAAGTTCTTGGTGCTTCTGAAATTAGAATGTTTTTTTCTTGTTTCTAAATTACAGTGTTGTATGGGTGTCTCAGAAATGGCTGTTATCTTGGTGTTTCATTAATAACAATAGACTTAAAATGTGTTCTATATATAAAAGAAAAATTGACTAGTAAAAGGAGGAAATTATGTGATATCCTTATACAGGTTTAGTGGTTATTACTTCCTGCTTCTATTGAATTTATAAAGGGGTTTGATTTATCATGTAAAAAAAAGATCAAAGGTGTTTAAATAATCATTGAACAAAATGAAATAATGAAGGATTTATAATATAACTTCATTGTTTACACTTGAGCTCATTGGAGTACCACTTAATGCTATTTGATACATGTAAATTTAAATTCTGGGTGAAACTTTAACTGTGTCAGGAATGTTAGAAGTCAAGTTATAAAAATATATTAGTTTTAATCAGGAAAATTTTAATACTGGTGTCCTAAGACTCATAAATTTGGGCACTACTACTAAATTATTTAGACAAATTTATGAAATTTTGAATAAAATTCAGTGGTATTGTTTATTGGTGTGCATGTAAAATCACCCAGTTATCCCATCATAAGTTCAACCACTTATTTAATCCAGGACTGAATTTGAATTATGTTTACTATATATTAATTATCCCTAATAAATACATGTATAACAAAGTATTTTACCTAGTGGTGGCAATTTAGGTCATAATTGATAAAGATTTATATACAAGTTTGGGTTTAGATCATTTGATAATAACATTTTTGAATAAGTATTCATCTCTTCTCCCACCATTTTAAATTGATGAGATTCAATATTTTTGTTAATATTTGGTGATACTTTTAAAGAGAGAAGAGAAAATTGACAAAAGTGATAAACAAAATAAGGTTTTTACACAAATATACTGTGAGACAAAACTATTGAACAGAATTCAATTTATATTCTTAGATTCACCAGATTCATTTATTTTTTTGGCTATGAATTTTTGTGGATTGATATTTAATTTTGTAGTTTTGGCAAACTATATGCATTCAGGCTTATAGGAACTTTGTTCTTTGTTGAATGTCAACTTATATTTGTTCCGCCTATTTTTAAACATAAGTTCCCCTGGAAACTTTGATATTAAACAATGCAATAATATTTGTTCCTGTTGGAACAAATATTCTATATCCTTTATTCTGTAAGGTACACATTCTGTAATATTTGTTTCAGTGGAAAAAATATTACAGAATATTTCTTTCATTTGGAACTTACATTACAAAGGAATTTCTATTTCATGACAGATCACTGTGATGTCTCTTTGACTAGATTTAACTAGTTTCTTCTAAAGACTCGAGTTAATGTGATGTCTCATTGACTAGTTTAAACTAGTTTCTTCTGAAGACTCGATTTAATGTGATGTCTCATTGACTAGTTTAAACCAGTTTCTTCTAAAGACTCCATTTAATGTGATGTCTCATTGACTAGTTTAAACTAGTTTCTTCTAAAGACTCCATTTAATGTGATATCTCTTTCACTAGTTTAAACTAGTTTGTTCTAGGCAGTATAAGTAGTGAATCACAATCTGGGTAAACTATGATCATGATGATAACTTTAAGCTTTACTAATGCAAAAAATCCAACTTGCAACATATATAACAATATGAAACAAATAAACCATACAAAACAATTAATCAATGAAGGTACAATGATAATCTTCTTTCCTCAATTCTATTTGTTGAAGACATTTCCTACTTGAAACTTAGAGGGTGTTGATGGGTTTAATATTTTGATGATTTTTCTTAACCATCATAGATATCAAATCTAAATTTGTTTGAGGACTATACTTTATCTGCACTTATTTTACAAATTAAGGATATTCACTTGTTCTAAACTTTCTTAGATAGTTTTTATTTTCAAAAAAAAAAAAATGTGAAAGGTTCTTTTGTTATATAATAGTTCAAAACTTCTCTTTTAATCTTCTGCAATTTATTTATAAGTTCCCAAAATTTTTAGCCTATGTTGGAGTTAACAAATACATTGTACCCCCAATAATATTGATATAATTGTACATCTCATTATTTATTTTTATGTTATCTTTAATACTTTGTGGTATCTTGCCTAAAAGTAGTAATATTTTGTTTTTCTTTTTTTACAGAAAGATTATCTTCATTAATACTTTTATCAGAGAACAAAACTTCAGTGACTTTAGAAGATCTTTATAAAATTCCAAAGTCAGACTATAGTCGGCCTGTATCAGAATTCTTTTCACAGATACGACTGTTCATGAAACAAAAACAAATAAGTTTATATGCCACAGTTGCAACATTTTATGACAATATATTTCCATCAGTGTTAAAGTACAATCTTCATAGTGGGAAAGTGTTGACTTTGACACCACAACAGACTTTATGCTTGCGAAGGAATCGGCAAGACATATTACCAGTACCATTTGGAAGTACACAATACAATATTTCACACAGTTTACAACATGCATTGTCGAATGTGAAATCATACATAGAAGTGCTTTCTCTAGTTGTTGAAGCCATTAACTTGACAGATTTCGCTTCAGTCACAGAAAAATGTGTTCACCAAGTGACTCAGCTCCAATTTTGTTCCCGGTGTCAAAATGAAACCACTGTTTTACCATGCAAAGGATTATGTTTGAATACAATGAGAAGATGTTTAGCACAGTTTTCCATTTTGCATCAAGATTGGAAAAAACTGATGATGTCGGTTGTTCGGCTAGATGGTGGACAGAGCGACAAATACAATGTAGAAGCAATACTGCAACAACTGAGCCACGATATTGATATGTCAATCAAACATGCAGTTCGTAACATTGCAGTCACTTTTAATGCTGTAAGTATGATATTCAGTGAAATAAATTAGAAGATGTGGTATGGGTGCCAATGAGACAACTCTCCAACAAATCTACTTTTGCAAATGCCCCACCCTCGTCCAAATCGATTTGTCTATAGCAGAAAGTGAAGTTTTTCTCATGCCATGCTTACCAGTGATTATTCTGAGAGTTTGACTGACAGATATCTTTGATGAAGTTTTACTAGATTTATAAAAATTGAGGATGGCTGAACTTTGTGTGGTAGAGTCAATAAATCTTTTATGTTCTTGGTCCATGGTCAGGAATCTTGTCTTCTCTGAGGTGGTGTCACTTTATGTTCCTGTTCCATGGTCAGGAATCTTGTCTGCTCTGAGGTGCTGTCACTTTATGTTCTCGTTCCATGGTCAGAAATCTTGTCTGCTCTGAGGTGCTGTCACTTTATGTTCTTGTTCCATGGTCAGGAATCTTGTCTGCTTTGAGGTGCTGTCACTTTATGTTCCTGTTCCATGGTCAGGAATCTTGTCTGCTTTGAGGTGCTGTCACTTTATGTTCTTGTTCCATGGTCAGGAATCTTGTCTGCTCTGAGGTGCTGTCACTTTATGTTCTTGTTCAATGGTCAGGAATCTTGTCTGCTTTGAGGTGCTGTCACTTTATGTTCCTGTTCCATGGTCAGGATCTTGTCTGCTTTGAGGTGCTGTCACTTTATGTTCTTGTTCCATGGTCAGGAATCTTGTCTGCTCTGAGGTGCTGTCACTTTATGTTCTTGTTCCATGGTCAGGAATCTTGTCTGCTCTGAGGTGCTGTCACTTTATGTTCTTGTTCAATGGTCAGGAATTTTGTCTGCTCTGAGGTGCTGTCACTTCATGTTCCTGTTCCATGGTCAGGAATCTTGTCTGCTCTGAGGTGTCGTCACTATATGTTCTTGTTCCATGGTCAGGAATTTTGTCTTCTCTGAGGTGCTGTCATTTTATGTTCTTGTTCCATGGTCAGGAATCTTTTCTGCTCTGAGGTGCTGCCACTTTATGTTCTTGTTCCATGGTCAGGAATCTTGTCTGCTCTGAGGTGCTGTCACTTTATGTTCTTGTTCCGGGGTCAGGAATCTTGTCTGCTTTGAGGTGCTGTCACTTTATTTTCTGGTTCATGGTCAGGAATTTTGTCTTCTCTGAGGTGCTGTCATTTTATGTTCTTGTTCCATGGTCAGGAATCTTGTCTGCTCTGAGGTGCTGTCACTTTATGTTCTTGTTCTATGGTCAGGAATCTTGTCTGCTCTGAGGTGCTGTCACTTTATGTTCTTGTTCCATGGTCAGGAATCTTGTCTGCTCTGAGGTGCTGTCACTTTATGTTCTTGTTCCATGGTCAGGAATCTTGTCTGCTCTGAGGTGCTGTCACTTTATGTTCTTGTTCCATGGTCAGGAATATGGTCTGCTTTGAGGTGCTGTCACTTTATGTTCTTGTTCCATGGTCAGGAATCTTGTCTGCTCTGAGGTGGTGTCACTTTATGTTCCTGTTCCATGGTCAGGAATTTTGTCTGCTCTGAGGTGCTGTCACTTTATGTTCTTGTTCCATGGTCAGGAATATGGTCTGCTTTGAGGTGCTGTCACTTTATGTTCTTGTTCCATGGTCAGGAATCTTGTGTGCTCTGAGGTGCTGTCACTTTATGTTCCTGTTCCATGGTCAGGAATCTTGTCTGCTCTGAGGTGCTGTCACTTTATGTTCTTGTTCCATGGTCAGGAATCTTGTCTGCTCTGAGGTGCTGTCACTTTATGTTCTTGTTCCATGGTCAGGAATCTTGTCTGCTTTGAGGTGCTGTCACTTTATGTTTTTGCCAATTTGCATTTTGTGTCATTTATTTGACTGTCTGTATTTAATTTGCCCAGAGTTAGACATGTATTTGTTGACCTGACCCAGTTGTCTATTTCATGTGATGTTGGGTTGATGTCTTCTTGACACATCTCCTGTTGTTCATTTCAATGTTTGATGCAAGAAGGATCCCATGCAGCCAGTCTATGAGGTTGTGTATTTTTTCCTTATATATTTTCTATGATTTTTTTTAAGCAGATGTGCCACAGCAGTTAAATTCGTTTATATTAATGAATAATTTATTTCTTTTACAGTCAATATAGAATTGTCATTTCTGACTTGTTTGTGACAGTGATGGTCCTATAAAGGTACAAGTCTTGTCATTTCCTGTCAACAATTTCACATGAAGGCCTTTTCTTTCTATTTTTGCATTTCCTTTTTAACAGTTGTTTTCAAGTTTTAACACAATGATATCAGTGACAAGCCCCTCCCACTGTAAATTCAGGTCTAAATCTGATTGACATATGCTTTTTATGCTTGATGAATATCCTCATGTCTATACTCAGTGTCTCCAGCTACCACATATGGATAAACTCCCTGCCCTATAATATACTATAATGGTACCATATCAGGCTACACCTAAAGAGGAACTACAAACATAATAAAAAATTGGCAAAAATTATAATCTGATCCTCATTATTTTTCCTTTTACATGAAGGTTATCCTGAATTTACACATTGATTTAGAAATTACATGACTCTGCTAAAATTGCCATTGCCAGTAATAATGTCAAATTACACCTCTAAAGCTTTTTGTTGAAAGATAATTTTTTTCCATTTATTGTTAAACAAAAGAAATGTGCTGTTATAATAGATAGTTTTGTAAACTAATTTATTTACAAACAGTTTTGAAGGATATTATGTTTAAAACATCAATTAGAAGAATTTAATTTTTTTTTTAAAGTAGAAGATTATGCTTGCACAAACACAGTGAATGTATGAGAGCTTTTTCCTCGATATTGCATCTATCCAGATTTCACTGTAAATATATATAATTAGTTTTTTTGTCACACATGCAACTTAATTTTACTATTAGATGCTAGATGCATGCATGTCGATGAGGTACTTTTCTGGAAGCCAACGATAATTAGTTCAAAACCATTTAGATATTTAGCAGTGTAACACCCAATGCATGTTAAATTGCTTTTTAATGGATGCTGAGATTCAGACAGGGAGAGACCTGTTGTGAAATGCTCTATTAGTAAGAAAAGAATGGTAAGATTTGATGTAAACTGTAGTAGTGGTCATGATAGGAATCACACCTAAGAAACAATTCTTTTATGATTGTGAGATTATAGAACTCACACTAGCTTGTACTGTACATACACAAGAAGTTAATGCTAATCTGCACTACATATACATGTGTTTTGATGAATTTGAATGTGACATATATTGTATTTTTTACAAAAATCATAATGCTAATCTGCACTACATATACATGTGTTTTGATAAATTTGAATGTGACATATATTGTATTTTTTACAAAAATCATAATGCTAATCTGCACTACATATACATGTGTTTTGATAAATTTGAATGTGACATATATTGTATTTTTACAAAAATTATGGCTCTAACTCTTTCAAGCAAAGTTGCCATATTGCTGAAACGTTTTAAGCAATTCTCTGATGTATTTTCTGAAAGTATATGATACGAATAGGTAATCTGTATTTCAAAAATTCTCTCTTAATCTCAGGATTATAAGTGCTTTTTGCATAAATTAAATAATGTATTAGAGTTGTGTACAATCTGTAGCTAGAAAAAAGCTCAGTGACATATACCTTGTATTATATTTTTGGAAGTAGATTGATATAAACAACTTGCTTATAAAGTACATTAATTTTATCACCTTCTTTTCCTTTTCCCGTAGTACCTCAAGGTTCAGGATAAGTTAAATTTACATCAGTATCCAGAAACGTATGGGAAACCTGGTGAAAGGACATATATACATTTCATTGCTAGTTGTAAGCAAGGGTGGGGGGGTTTAGAAGGGTTAGAAATTTAGCCTTTTGAAGGTCATCTATGACCTTTTTGGAGGTGTTTCTGACACTGGGAGTGACATCAAAATTCATCACAGTAGTAATCTTGAATGATGATCTTTTCACCTGAAATAACATCCTTTTATATAGAAAATGGAAGAGCTCATTTGACTATTCTTGAATACTATATGTTGACATTCAGATATCCTTTTGTTGATTTTTTATGTTGTTTGACATTTTTGGTAGCTGTTTTGACAGTGATGGTCCTATTAACGTATAAGTCTTGTCATTGCCTGTCAACAATTTCACATGAAGGCCTTTTTTTCTTTTTTTACATTTCCTTTTTAACAGTTGTTTTCAAGTTTTTGATACATGTATTAACCATATTAATATATATACCAAAAACAAATCCTTTTATTCATCTTTTCTCCAATGATTTTCATGGATATCGAGTAAAACTATTAACAAATTACACTTTAGGGGGTTCCTGCAAAAGTACTCCCATTCAATCACTAGTTCTAGTGAAAATTGGTTTATTGAAGAATCTAACTCAATATTTAAAGCAACAAACAGAGCCAAAATGCATGGAACTAACTGTGATAATTAATCCTTGACAGATAGATTCAGCGTTGAGAAAGTGCATCATAAATTTAAATAAAAAAAAAAGTGTTCTTGGAATTAAAAAAAAGGTCATGTAATATAGCTGCAAAGTATGAGTTGGGACGGTTCCCATTTAACTCATTTATAAAAACTCAAGTTTTAGTATATTTTTGTAGAATTAATTGTGTTAGGAAATAAACCCTCTTGTTAAAGAAGCTTTCAAAATAAATAAGTCTATGTCTGAAGATGGAATATATACTTTTGCAAAGCACATTTTCACAGAATTTAACATTGATGAAGAAGAATATGTTGATTTTGATAAACCTTTTAAACTAATAAAAAATTCACTTAAAAAGACTACTTTACATATTGTTAAAGAAAAGTATGATAAAATAACTCTTAAAAATCTTTCAAATATAGATAACAGTTCAAAACTTTACCTTTATAGTAAACTTAAAAATGAAATTAAATTGAAAGACTACTTGCACAATCTAAAAAAATTTAACAAAATTCTGTATAAGTGATGACCATAGCTTGGAAATTGACATAGGTCATTACAAGAAAATTCTAAGAGAACAAAGAGTGTGTAAAGTTTGTAAAATTTTAGATGATGAGGAACACTTTTTCCTTCATTTGCCAAATCAGCAGTCTTTTGATTGCAATTAAAACTCATTGTCCTAATTTTGACCAGCTTGACTCTAAATTTAAAACTGTTTTAGATCCGAATAAAGATATTTTGTCTAATGTTGTGGGCTTTCATTGGTCAATTATATATACTTGTATATTATTGACTTGACTTGTTTAGAGCTTTTTCATGTGTTGTATGTTTCTTTAAACTATGTTCATGTAATGTTTACATTTAACCTGTCAGGGTTTTACTTTTTTCAATAAAGTATCATAAATTTTAAAATTAAATGAAATTTTCTGTACAACAATGAAATATTTTTGAATATTTTCTTTTTATTCAATAATTAAGATCCTCTTGGTAATCAAATATTACTGTAAAGTGGAATATTTACTGGAGTGTTTTAATTTCACGTTTTCTAGAGCCAAACTGTTTTGTTCTTTCTTACATATCAAATTGACAGGAAGGAATTATTTTCATGATTTTATCTTCATTGCAAAATTAGCAAAAATTTCCAATTTAACAGTATGCATTTCGAAGTAAAGTTATCAGATAAAGACTGACAAATATCCACATAATCTGACACAACCAAAAAAATGGATACTAGAACCAATCTGTAGATACCAGTACTTGACAGTCTAATAGGTGTGTGGAGATAAATTCATGGTGATAGCATTAGGTGAATCTGAGTTGTTGCCTGCTTTGATAAAATAACCAAAAAATAAGCATTTTTTGTAACAATAACTCTCTATTGCCAGAACATTTCATAGATATTTGGCAAAATTAAGGTGTAATTTTTCATTTGCTAACACCCAAAGACATTACTTCTGTTTTTTCAAAGACAAGAAACTTTGGTACAAAGCAGACTGTTGGAAACATGAAAATCTATTAAAACTTTGACATTTGAAAGATGTTTTTCATATATTATCTCATCAACTTGTATTTAGTTGGTAATTTTTTAGTATTTGATAGAGTGATTATTCTGTCTCTCAGTTTCATCTTTTAGATTAGCCTGTTTTTTTAAACATTGGCTCGATTGCAGTGATACAATTTTATAAATTACTTTCCACTACAAACTCATGGTTGTATGCAGATGGATTTTTAATTTAGTGGTTTTAAGTAAACAATTGTAGGAATTGTATATGAAGTCATAATAAGAACATTTCAATGTTTCTGCAAATGCAAGAATTTCAATAATTGGTTTGTTTGTGAGGCAATTTTGGTAACAGGGTTCTAGCATGTTCTATACTGAATGTTTACCCAATATACACAAGCAAAGAATTTGATGTTGAATGGAATGCTCTTCACTTCAAAAACAAATATTTGTCCATGTGGAAAGTGGTCTTTAATTTGTGTCTTTAGTCCTGCTGCTACAAATCTTTTTATTTATCATTTTGAAAGCCAATTTTCGCTGTTATTTAAACTGTATTATACCCCGCTTAAATTTGGAAAAATGTTGTTTGCATTTGGACAAAAGCCGTTCTTCATTATAGAAAATTATCAGCAAGTTTTGACGTAGATATTTTATTTATGAAATAGGTATTCATTTCATTAGATAGGTATGAAAAAGGTCAGTATGCTAGACAGTCTGACAATGTTAAAGTTTGTCAATAAAGTAAATTTTTTCTCCTCACCAAGTTAACTTGGTATTTATAAACAGCTTAATCTTGTTTGGACTATCTATTTTACATTGAATTACCTAAGTATTTTAGTTTCATAAGTAAAGCAAGCTTATCAATGGACTGTAAATTGTAAATTGACTTTCAATTTATACTTAGCAGATGACCAATTTTACCCACTTTATGGATGGTCAAAAAGTAGACCACAAAACTATTGTAAGTCTAGACTTCTATCATAAAAATTGCTGGAGCTAATATCAACAGGCAATGAAGAAAAAGTAGTGGATTAAGTAAGATCTGTAATAGTTCTGTAAGCAGCAATGTGTATCTATGCATCTAGTTTTAAGTATGATTTAGATATATTAAATTGGGAAAAAAATTACTTTAGGAAATAATAGATAAATCAAAGAAATAGCTTTAATAGTTTCCAGTAGTTATGCTTGTTTTAATCTGTGTAGTAAAATTCTTCCTTATTAAGTCGCAATTTTGAGGTAAAAAATACTGAAATTGACTGCATTTGTTCAAAGTGCTTTTTTGTATATCTTGGTCGGGGGACATATAAGTATGTTATACCAGATGTCTCCATTGCCTGCCCCTGCCATTAATATATCTAAGTGACACCAACAGTTCAGAAACAGAAAAAAACCAAAGAGAATTGTGCTTTACAAAGAAGTTACAAACTAAATTTCTTTCAAAATGCATGTCTGTGGCAAAGCACTGATTACCACCTGGAAGTGTTGTAGTATTTCAAAACTCACAACTAACCTTGGAAATGCTTTTCTCTCTCTCTGTATCAGGGTACCTTTGAAATTTACTGTTGAATCTTTCAATTAAACTACATTATCACATACCAGTGATTCAATAACACTTTATAGCACACCAACGTAAAATATGGTACAACAAAATGGTGTCCTGTCATGATTTTATATCCTTACAGTGAACAATCCATTGAGTAGCAGGTAGCAACTAAGCTTTGTTTTTTTCGAGGGGTACGTGATGAGAAAGTCCAGTGTTTCTGGTTAGAACAGTGCAATAGTGTTTTAAATATTACATTGTTGCAGATATCCATCAGCAAAGATGTGGATTTAATTGACAAGTATGCAGGTTGTCATGTCAAGTAGATACTAAAAAAATCAGTTCCAGTTTTCACTAGGTTGTCAGATATATCAACAGATGGAGGGAAAAGTGGCAAAGTTTGATAAAAAATGAAATAAACCATTAATTTGAAAGAAATTTGAAACCTGAAAAGTGTTGCACTCACTCATTAGGCAGTTGAAAGAGAGAAATACAGATAAACATGGCAGCCTTGTGTTGTGGTAGCTGATGATAGGGGAATTCTATACTGCTTAGACTCTTAATTAGCTCAAGTGCTTAGAGCTTTAGACTGGCATCTATCTCATTTGTCAAGGCAGACCAGAAATTATCTAATAGCTTTACACCTGTGCCCATTTTATGGATTTGGTATACAATAGTTAATTTGTAAACAGTGAAATATTAATTTGGATTTCCTGGTATACCATTCTATATTTCCAGATAAAAAATGCAGATCAGTTCAATGACTTCAGTCTCTGATGTTCAGTAGCCATCCACTCTAAAGTATCTACTCTAATGGAAACATGGCTTTAAAAAATTGAGAAATTTCTTTAATATTCTGTATTAATATTTTGTTAAGAAATAAGTACTTAATGTTCTATTAGAAATAATATTGTTCTAGCAAGTGGTACAACAGTTCATCCGATGTCTTAAAACCAGCTAATTCCTGAAGCAAAGTGGCTGATGCATCTTCGTAATGTACTTTAACATTAGACAGTTGATGTGACAGTTGCATATAACCTGTAGAATTCTGAACGATTACACTCTACAGATGTTATTGCCAAGTCAGATTGAATCCATTTAAACCATACCAATATATGTCAAAGGAATTGATTTTGCTATCATTACAAAAAATAGTTGCAGATGTGAAATTGCATAAACGTTTGTCAACGTATGAAAAGTATTATTAACAAATGTATAACATGTTGATTTTTTGAGGTGGTAATCATTTTATTTTGTTGTATAATTTTTTGTAGGCTAAAGGTTTATGTGCTATTTCCGCAGCAGATACACAAATTCCAATCAGAACAGCTTCAAGTCAGCTGGGAACACAACTCAAGCATAACAGAAACCGTAGAACAATGGGTGGCGACCTAAACGATCAAGTCCTACAAGTGAAAGAGCAACTTCTCATATCAATGAATATTTTCAACACTATTTCTGAAGATATTTGTGAGCAAAAACTTTTTTATGACCAGGATCCAGATAGTACTATGTGTTGGAATGGTACTTTGGTGGGCAGGTAATTGTAACCACTACATATATTTATTGCATATAAATAAAGAGGGATGTGAGGATACATCTAAGTGAGACTGCAACCCAATACAGAGTACTAAACTTCTATATCTGAAGAATAGTCACTAAATCTCTATTACTAAACAATAATCACTGAACCTCTATACTCTGTGGTCTGGTGGTACATGTAGTGTGCTTGCCTAGAGTGTTGTAGGTTATGCTACTCTGCTATGCATGCAGCATTTAGGCCAGATAGCAAAGACTTGTGGGTTTGGAGTCAGAATAATGTGTAAGGGTTGATTGTGAATGAGTACATTAAAAAATCGTGTCAGACTAGTACAAAGCAGGGTATAAATTCATTTCACAATATTAATTTCTCATTTTGAATATGTATCTAACTTGCCACTGGACGTTAAACAGCCATGCATCCATTTTTAACTAAATTATAGCCACCTAACCTGCATAACTATAAATGTATCTAGATAGGTGATGGAGTTTGATACTTGGGAATTAACTATTATGTTAGACAGTCAATAGGAAGTTAACGCTGATCTAGTCAGTTTAAAACATGGTTATTAACTGTCTGGTGAATATTCCACAACATACCTACTTCAGTGCTTGATCAACTGGTAACCTAATTCATTTATGACTTGGAAACAAATTTGAATCTCAAAAGGGATTCTCTACCAATTTTCACTTTGAGATATATTCATCAAATAGTTATTTTTACATTTATCTAAATAGGTTTGGCATATATTTTGGTCATTCATAACATTCTCAGGAGAAAAATGATAAACAAGAATGAAATTGTTTTTTGAGATATCGTTGGACTCCAGGGAAAAAAAACAGGAGACAGAATTTATCTTTGTTTTATGGAATTTTGTTAGATGTAGTCTGCTAAAGATGGTGTTGATTGAAGGAAAATTATCTAATTTGGGAATAGAGGAATTAAGAAATATCGACATTTTTTCTATTAGCTGCATTCTTTACATGATAATTTGATGAGTTTATTCTCCTCTTTTTTAGATTTACTGGTAATATCGAGCATCTTAAAGCATTTACCACATCAGAGATGGATGTGGACCCACAATTGATAACAATGAGAGACAAACTGTCATTGACGAGAAATGTAAGTGCCAATTTTATTATAGAATTGTATTAATAGAGTTTGTATCAGAAATAATTATACACAACTGATATTAATGCTTATCTTTATCATTAACTGACTCTTGGTTCCTATTCTCCTATATCTAGGTCCATTGTAATTGAGAAGAATGAAGTTTTGGTTACATGGTTACCAGGCCTGAGGGCAAGATAAGCTCTTTGCAAGTTTTTGTTTTGGCCATGGTGATTTCAGTTTTTAAATGCCCCACCATTAGTATCAAGTTTTTGATCAAGGTAGTCTACTATGAAGTTGTGATTTCAAATCCTGCATGTGGAAGTTGGGTTTGACTGCAATCTTAATTCTTAATTGACTAGAATTTAAAATTTTCCTACCAAAAAAAAAAGGTCAGTTCTCTCCTGACACTCCTGCTTCCTCCACCAATAAAAACTTACCACCACGAAGTAGTGCAATAGTGCTGAAAGTGGTGTTAAACACATATCAATCAATCAATCAATCAATCATGGTTCACTGAATAGTGAAATGTGATAGTGTGAATCCAGTACACCCTTAAGTTAAATTTTTGGTCTAGGTAGTTTACCATAAAGTTGTGATCATATTTATTTGAAACTTAGGTCACATGTTCATTATGATGTGAACTTTTGAAACTAGATGTCAAATTATGGTTTTGACTCTGATTTCACAGTTTACCTAACTTGGAAATGTGATAGTGAGCAGGCATGGACACATATTCTTGTTTCTTAGATATGTAGTGTTTGGTTCCCTTGTTATCTTCTATTTTTTCATACATCTCAAGACCAGGCATTAAGTAGTATTATTCATTAACAGCATTGTCTTTTTGTTATGGTAATAATTGAGGATAAAAGTTTATAGAGTGCACTGTAACTTGCCAAAAAGGAGAGATAACTCTAAATATAGTAGATTAGATACAAACATTTATAGTTACCATGCTTCTCATATTTTCTTAATGGTGACTAAATTGGGACAGGGGATTTATCCATTTCAGATCTTGTCTACAGTTATTTAGTTTTTACTGTGTTTTTTTTATTTTTTATGCATAGGCGGATCCAGGGGGGGGCCCGGGCCCCCCCTTTCGTGGGAAAAATTTGGTTGATTATATAGGGAATCACTGAAGCATGACTCGAGCGGGCCCCCCCTTAGGTCAGTCAGCGGGCCCCCCCTTATGAAAAGTTCTGGATCCGCCACTGTTATGCCCCCACCGTCATCGGAGGGAGCATTAAGTGTTACCTTTGTCCATCCGTATGTACGTCCCAAAATTGGTTTCCATTCTCTATATTTAGTTTGCCTCAACCAAATGTTATGAAACTTATACATTTGTACACAATGCTTATTACCACAAAACACAGATCAAGTTCGAATTTTGGTGGCGTCACTTTTACCCTTCTAGAGTTATGTCCTTTATAACATTAATGTAAGAGGGGGTCATCATCTGTGACACACTCTCCATTTATTTATTTTTGACTTATGCATACAAAGATTAAATTCCTTGATTAAATGAAATAATGGCAATTTATAGTTAGCAATGTGACAGAAAAAAAACAGTGGATGTTACATTTCTGGAATAATTTGAATAATAGAAAATCTGTTTTGGTCTTCACATCATTCTAGCAAGTCTTATGGGTTAAAATCGATTACAAGAAAAGAGATGATTATATAATGCTGATTGAAAAAAAAATAACCAATTTAACTTTTAAGCAATATTGTGCCTTGAGAATTACTTTTAAAACTATATGTACAATGAATAGAGAATTGAACCTAAAAATGGCCTGAATGTCAGTGACCCTGTTTGATGGAGATTTGTAATATACTGATTAATGGATAAAAACCTATGTTTTGACTATTTTCATTGTATATCTTCTGATTGATACCAAAACAATGGAAAAAGATTAAAAAGATAAAATGTACATAGGTAAAATATCTATAATATAGTGTATACTACTGTTGTATATATTGTGTTATGACATTTGAATGATTGAAGTTAAAAAATAAACTTGTCAGAACCATGGGATACAAAAATGTTGGGATCTATATAAGCATTACCATAGAAGATAATCCATTCTGACACTTCTAAATTTTTTTAGTCAAGCTCCTGTTTTTTTTCTGAACTTGATCCATTTGAGATAACTGACAGTATTGCCTGATTGAAATCAAGTTTAACTGTTGCAAATTGTTTTTATGGAAAACAGATTGATTTTGTTTTAAAAATACCCGGTATCAATCACTATGCTATGATATTTTTTCAGTTACAATATTGTTATGGAAATCATCTTTCATTAGAAAATCATTCTGAAAGTCAATATTCGTGTTAATGTTTTGAAATAATTTATCGGTCCCGGGTGAAGTATTAAAGAAAACACAGTAAAATAAAGTCTTCAGTGTGAAACAAAATTTCCTCTTGAGTATTTAAACTAAAACCAATGAATGATCAAAATGGGATGAAAGTTTTATGGCTTCTTTGTAGTCAGTGCATAATGTTGACAGACCAGTTGGTTTATTACAATTGATTGCACAGAATTTTAAATAACAAGTTTCAATATTTGCAGACCTCAGCGATTGAAATGACTGTTGCAAATTAACTTTTCTAATACATACTTGGTATATTAAATTTGAAAAAAAGTATGAATTTTATGAAATATAAGAATTTATGATAGATGTCAAAAAGTTCAGATACAATACAGTTCATCTTTACAATTTAATTCATATTTAATTATGAATTTTAAGCAAACAACAGTTAATCTTTCATATCTAATTAGCATAACCATCAAAATCTGCAGCTGTTCAGTATGTTCAGACAAAACAACAGATTTTTACTGGATCACCAAAAACCAAAAATTCCAGAATTTTCTAATCAAAATATGGATTTCAAATGAATTTCATATTATCCTCTTGAGATGTTACATTTGTTAAAAAAACTATCAAAAATCAAAGTTACTGTGAGAGATTAATTACAAGGAAAGAAAGCATATTGCATGTTGTGATGTAGTTACGCAGATAAATTAGTTTTCCTGCTTGACTGTATAATGTTAGTCATTTTGTTTAATTTGAAAACAAATTTGATTAAAGAATTTTAATTTAAGTGGACAAAATTTGACAAAGCAACTGTTATTTTGGTTCAGTTTGTCCACACAATTAATTTGATGAGGTGAAACCATTTTCTTGTTCAGTATGTCAACAAATTGATTATGAACAAAATTTTCTGTGTGAAAGACTTCACTGTGTCTTTGATATGAAGAAAGAACACAAGTGCTGTTCCTTGATGATGGGAGTTTTTAACGACCTTGACTGGCTATACAGCCCTCGCACGGTCGGTGCTGTTCCGTGGCTTTATGTCAAGTATATATTGCTGTAGTGATTTGGTATCATAAATCAAATTACCATATTATACAATCTCCCTTCTTTTGTAATTTTTTTCTTCAAGTGGTGAACAAATTTGCTTAGTTTGTCATCAGATTTGAATATGGTTTTACTTTACTAGGAAAACATTTCCTTCTGTTTGAGTCCAAACTTGACTAGGAACCACATTTTTGTTCAGTTTGAGTACAAACTTGACTAGGAAAACATTTTTGTTCAGTTTGAGTACAATCTTGACTAGGAAAACATTTTTCTTCAGTTAGAGTACAATCTTGACTAGGAAAACATTTTTGTTCAGTTTGAGTACAAACTTGACTAGGAAAACATTTTTGTTCAGTTTGAGTACAAACTTGACTAGGAAAACATTTTTCTTCAGTTTGAGTACAATCTTGACTAGGAAAACATTTTTCTTCAGTTAGAGTACAATCTTGAATAGGAAAACATTTTTCTTCAGTTTGAGTACAAACTTGACTTGAAAACTTATTTTCCTCATTTTGTTCTCAAATTTAATTATCTGTAATTTTGAAGTTTACAACATGGGTTAACAATAAAATATAAAGAATTGACGTAGATGAAAATTGATAATCTTGTTTATTCCTTTGCAGACATTAGACACAGAACATCAAGAATACAGAGACTCGATGATGTCAGATTCTTCAATTTTCAAGTATGGTAGTGGAGACCGAGGTATAAATTATGGTGGAGGCATTGTTCTAGAGACAGATGATGAGGATTTGAATGGATCTGGTAGCGGTAGTGGGGATGGAAGTGGTGAAAAACCTAACCCAATTGATGTAACCATTGCACCAAGTAAGACAAGTTTAGAGCTTATGGTGTTCAGAATAACACATCCCATTATAGAACATTGTAATGTAGTTTCAATTTTTGATGGTTATGGACAATTCTTTGGTTCAGGGATTTTTACATTGCCCCTGGTGGTTATAGACTTTGAACATAGCAAATCAGTATAGAGATATATATACTGAACTTGGTATTAAAATTGGGGGTTTATAATAGTTGTGACAAAAAATGTGTTTGTCTTATATCCTACAAATATTGTACATAAAACAATGCATTTTTAAGTGCAGTAAAATAGTTGCAAACCTGATTCAGTTGAGGTTCATTCTTACTATCATAGAAACAGTGTTAGGAGCTTACTTATATAAAAGTCTACCTTTTTTTTGTTAATTTGATATAATCTGAGTCTTGGCTACACCCTTTTTCTACTGATACAGCCTAGGGTGGAGATTCGACTACCCACCACTGGGAAAAAACATCAAATATCAGAAGAAAATGTCTCATACAGTTTCTTTATTTTGCCTCTCACAGACAAGAAAAAGAATTAGATAATTTCACAGTTGCTATACAAATATCATGCAGGCATAGAGATTTTTAATGTTTGTTTCAAGGCATGTTAGATCTTCTGTTTAATCAATGACAGTTTACTTCTTATTTATACTGTATCACATGTGATGTTTCATGTGTAAAACATGGCTTTGAAAAAAAAGATAATCACTGGTTTCCCGCTAATTCCAAATAAACAAGTTTTTTTTTCTTTTTCTTTTTATGCAAGCACATCAGGGCAACAAAAAGAAGACAAGCAAACAATCTTCTTTTAATTATAACATATGTTTGAAGTTGATATTTTTCATGTATAATTAGGTGTAATTACCAGAACATGGTTTTATTACTATGAGACATGTAATACAAGTGAGTGTTCTATTAACAGTTTATTAACAATTAATAATGCGTCAGTCTCAATATCTATTAAACTGAGCTAAAGGAAATATTAATTAGGATTTTTTACGGAAATAATTGTATTTGGGGAAAGGGTAAGGGTTACAGGGTATAGTTTTTGAAGTTCCGTCAGCTTGAAAATATAACATAATAAGAAATCAATAAAAATCTATGCATAATATATTAAATAAAAAGTTGATGTAACATATTTACAATAAAATCTGTCTATAAATAGCCATGAAGATTTTGGATTAGAAAGGTGTTCACTTTTCACAGGTTAAATGACTAAAAAATAGTCACAGTAGACAAATTTTCTGTTTTCACAGGTTAATTGACTTGAGAATATTCACTTTAGACAAATTTCCAGTTAACACAGGTTAAATGACTTAAAGAATATTCACCATTTGTCCTGATATTTGGATTCATTGTAAACAAATTTCCATTTACACAGGGTTGATGTAGACAGGATTCATTGTAGACAAACTTCCATTTACACAGGGTTGATGTAGACAGGATTCATTGTAAACAAATTTCCATTTACACAGGGTTGATGTAGACAGGATTCATTGTAAACAAATTTCCATTTACACAGGGTTGATGTAGACAGGATTCATTGTAAACAAATTTCCATTTACACAGGGTTGATGTAGACAGGATTCATTGTAGACAAATTTCCATTTACACAGGGTTGATGTAGACAGGATTCATTGTAGACAAACTTCCATTTACACAGGGTTGATGTAGACAGGATTCATTGTAAACAAATTTCCATTTACACAGGGTTGATGTAGACAGGATTCATTGTAAACAAATTTCCATTTACACAGGGTTGATGTAGACAGGATTCATTGTAAACAAATTTCCATTTACACAGGGTTGATGTAGACAGGATTCATTGTAAACAAATTTCCATTTACACAGGGTTGATGTAGACAGGATTCATTGTAAACAAATTTCCATTTACACAGGGTTGATGTAGACAGGATTCATTGTAGACAAATTTCCATTTACACAGGGTTGATGTAGACAGGATTCATTGTAGACAAACTTCCATTTACACAGGGTTGATGTAGACAGGATTCATTGTAAACAAATTTCCATTTACACAGGGTTGATGTAGACAGGATTCATTGTAAACAAATTTCCATTTACACAGGGTTGATGTAGACAGGATTCATTGTAGACAAATTTCCATTTACACAGGGTTGATGTAGACAGGATTCATTGTAAACAAATTTCCATTTACACAGGGTTGATGTAGACAGGATTCATTGTACTTAAAAGTGTTTAATATTTAGTTGACAAAGAGATAAAATTTAAATTGATGTTGTCTTTATTTGTAGCCAAAAGCTTCAATCCTCCAAATAAAAATCAACGGCCTGAAAGTTCCGCTAGTTCAGTTTCTGTTTCGGTGGTGATGGCTTTTCTGACAGTAATAACAACATTGATATTATGACAGACAGCAGTCGACTGAAGAGGAAAGAACAGAGTGAGAAACTCGGAATAAAATTTCTATCATGTGATATTTGCAATTTTATTAACTTTATTGTATTATTGTATAAATGTATATGTGCCTTTATACATAACTAATATTAGCAGCATTCTTATAAGTATTTTAAAAAAGCTTCTTGTCACACTGTTTTTATTTAACAACATTCTTCTGTGTGAAAAAAAAATGTCTTTATGACTTATTTCAAACCCTTGCTGTTCAAAAGTGTGGTTGACTTAGTTGATGAATTTATTAGAAAGATAATAAAGCACATTGATCAAAACTTTAAAAAAATAAGAAACTTACAAATATGGCCTTGAACCTTGAAAACAGATCTACTCATTTACATAGCTAGAGTGATTGTTAATAATGAAATTGTGACAGTAGCTTTTTATCATAAACATACATAGTTATACCATAATAGACAGAAACTATACATACAAATAATGTGACTGTAGAAAAATGTGTGTGTAGTTTGGAACAAGATTGCATTTCAGAATCTAAAGCATTGTGGGTAAAAATTGTCAAATGCATTATGGGTAAAAATTGTCAAAAGCATAAACCAAAACAATTGGTGAGGGGAATTCACAGATAATGAATTTTCAACCAAAGCATCAAGGCATTCCAACGCTGGTGTATGAACTAAAGTTACTCATAGAACTTTAGATGCATAAAAAGTAAATTGCATATCTCATTACTTCTAAACTGTTTAAAATTAAGAAAAACAAAGTGAATGGCAGTGCCCTGCTGCCTTATGTTATTCTGATACATAATTTGAATAGCATAGATATGATAAATTGACTGCTCCACCAGACAGTTAATAAATTTGACACATTGAATAATTAAAATTAATGGATTTGATAAGATATTTCATTTTTTGTTCAGAAAATTGACAGGATAAATCCTTACATGTTTTTTTTGTCTACTGTTGATAAGATTTTATGTTGCCAAACTTTTTTGCATCTGATTTCAGCCATTATGTGGTTAAATTATGCATTTATTAGTCAAGTCTTTCTAACAGTTATGCATTTTAAACGTTGAATTAGATGTTCATTGCTAAGTAATCCAATAGTTGTACTTGGAAACAAATGCATGTTAGATTAGTTAATAATGCTTTTCCTAGTTGTTATTATTTCATTATTGTCATTATCAAAAGGTATAATCTCAAGTCTTTCAGAATTGTATGTATATTTTGCTGATTTATTTTTTAGCTCACTGGCCAAAGGCCAATCATTGGTTTTGCATTACTTTGCTTTAATCCATTCTCTGCCTCAGAAGTGTGTTACTCATTGATAATATAAAGACTTATATTGTAAAACTCCATTGATCTAATAATATCGGTAAATATAATTCTTTGTGGAAAGCTTATGCTTTTTTTCTAGCATGACTTTAAAAAAGTTATATAAAATGACTGTTTTAGAATCGGATGCATTCTGGATAATAATTTCGAAAGGGTACACTAAAACAGTGTGATTGGTTAACAGAATTGTATACCATGGGTATCAAACTAAAAATGAAACATTGTTCTCATTTTGGTAAACAGAAAAGGTCATTTCTTAAATCCAAATTGGTGCTAGACATAGCTCTTCAATGTCCTGATTAGGCCAAAGGGCAATGAAGTTGAATTCATAAAAATAAATGGTTTATCTTCAAAACTGCATAGAGATGAATCATTTTAAAAAAAACTGTTTTACCGACCTAAGTATTTAATATTAGCATTCCTATAGGCTACTAGTTAGCACACTCCTTAACCAAAAAAACTTAACAGATAGCTTTTAAAGTGATGTGTAAGTCGTGAGTGAACAGACTTCTATGCTTAAGCTTTAGCTCTTTTTTGTTTTATTTTATTTTTTTCAAGTCATTGTACATATATATATATATAAATGAAAGCTGAAAGCTTAATAATGGGGAAAGTTCAGTTGTCACTTGTTAACAAAGTCAGTACAATGAAGGAATGTATGAGAAAACTGTTCAAAAGTTGTTATATCCTTTGTTATGTATATAATCATTGATATGTATCAGGCCAAATCAGATAAATGTTAGCTTTTCATTTCTTTCTGAGTCCTCTCAAAAACACTCATTGTGCTTTGTATTCTATTTGTTTTCTTTTTTGATAATCAAGGTTCAAACTTGTTTTGCTTTTTGTTTCATTTTTGGTTGATCAGTATTATGTATTATGAAATTTCTAAAAAAAAAAATTGTGGTAGTCTGAGAAGCTAAAGAATTACTCTGTATGGCCTAATTGATTTTATTTTGCTGAACAGGCATCATGTAAAATTTTAACCAAGCATTGTTGACAATTTATTATATATGTAGTAGAGGGGAGATAATACATTATCAATATTACAAAGACACTAAGGGAGACAATTTAAATTGCCTTTGCTATTTATCTTAGTCAAGGGAGATAACTGAATAATTTCCCCTATCATTACTGCATGTATTTTTGCTACTACATGTACCATATTAATGAGTGCATTTGTGACGCTTGTTGAGTTAAATCCAAACGCTAAGTGCCATTAAATTCAATGACCATATATAGTATCAACCATTGGGAAGTTTCAGTTGCAGTGGTGTAATTAATTAAATTATAAAAAAAATTATTTAAAATTTTGCGATATGGTACAAATTTTTGTGGGTAGTGAATTTCAGCATTTTCACCGTCTGAAATTTTGTAATTTAATTCACATATTTACCTCAGCATGAATTGTTAAAATTTGAAGTAATATAATGATCTCAAATTAAAAAATACTGTGACCATTTGCTTATTTTGTTTCTCCCATTTTCACTTACAACAGTGACAAGTTATGTATACAACAAAAGAAATCTTAATGACTTGATAATGTTATTTAGAAAAAAATGATTTTAGAAGAATTGTTTTAATTTTATCTTCATCTTTTTAATTGTAATTTGCCTTAAGATAGCTTGCATTTATTAACTAAAACAGTATTCACATAATCAGGAGAGAAAAGCATTATTATCTTTGTTTGTCATCGGGTTTTTAAAAATGATATTTTAAATTCATCAGGAGGGGGAGAGGGTATCATATGATAGACCGTGTATTGACCTCATGTTTTCTTTTGGTTTTATGATGTTGTTAGGTTTCTTTCTCATTGATGTATACCCTACATCTCTTTATTGGTATATGAGAATGTATGCTAGAATGACCTGCTCGTGGAAGATAAATTTTTAAATCTCATCTTCTAATAGATACTTTTAATTTGATATTTACTGGCATTCTGGTGCTTCAAAATATGCATGATCGGATGCAGCATTTATTGTCTCTTTTTCCCCTTTATCATACTAAAATACTAAGTTTTATCCATTTATGTATATCTTTGTTTATTTCAATGTGTAATTGTTGTTGTAGATGTATAGGCCATTTTAGACTTAAAAGAGCTCAAAGCTCAAACAAATATTTCTGTTACATTAAAAACAGTTTTATTTACTTTCAAATCAATGATGTTGAATTATACATTTTGCCAATAAATTATACATTTAGCCAATAAATGTATTCTTAAATACATCTTGTTTGATAAACCTTAAATTGTGGGCAAAGCAATTTTTCGAGAAAAAAATAAATTAAGCATACTTTTATAATAATGCATTTTTTTTTACCTTTTAACAGAATCACTGTAATTTATTCAATAAATCTTTCTTGACACGTTTTTAATGTAACAGAAATTTTACTCCCATGTAAAAATCGCCATGATTTTTTTAATGCTATTAGTTTAATATAAATTTGAGAAACAATCATGAAAATAATTGACACAAAGATTTTGTCTGATCATTTTTTTTTTAACATGCATGATCCTGATGAAAAATATATTGGGCAAGTTGTCGCTCATACATTTTTACTGCAATATTTACCAAAACATTTTTTTTTCTTTTTATCTCTTCATAAAAGAAATGTTAGTGATAAAAATTTTTGTTTTACACAGAGTTTTACAATTTTACATGGGACATTTTCTTTTATTTTTTTTATTGTACATGTATCAAATACATATGTAATAAGAGTTTCTGTGATTAATTGTGATATTTTGTCAAAAGAGGTGATAAAAAGTTTACAATATGAACGCAACTAAAAATGTAGGAATGGACATAGAGTTATTATCTATAACCTCGATCAAGATAAACAGAAATTTTTGAAAAGGACTTAGGGTGTAACAGAAGAGAAAACAGCTAAAGGTTCATTTATTCCATAACTATTTAACTTAAAATAGATTATTCACTTATTTCGCTTGTCAAGACTTGTATATTTTTCGAAAATAAAGTAGAAAAATTTGAACTTATTGGTAAATATGAAGAAAACAAACTTGTTTATTTTTTGGTGTAGTTGGGTTGACATATACCCCACAAATCCTTTTATTCTGACTCTTAGAAATCCACGATTGACACAGTCAATACAGAGTATTATTGAATAGCAGGAAATCTTTGAAAATCTATAAATAGTGCCAATATGGCTGCTATTACACATGTGTTATTAACATTATTGTTTTTATCAGAAATCCAAATTATTTGAGGTTTGTAATTACATGTATAGTGCTTGTATGAAAAGTAGGTGAAAAAAAATCTATTTATAGAAAACTGTTCATAGTTTCATTTTATTTTTTGTAAATTTTAACCTTTTTATAAAGAAAAAGAAAAAAGCTTATTATGTTTGCATTATAACTTGCACTAAATTATTTGTTTAGTTTAAAAAAAAATAATGTGTATTGATCATAGTAAAAGAAATATTTTAATTTGCATTTGTCAAAAAAAAAAAAAGAATAAAACAATGAATCAATAACATAAATAATTTAAAGTTTTAATGAATAATTTATGAATATAGGTCCATTCCATCATTTTTATTCTGGCATGTCCACCATTTCACCAGAAAACTTAATATTGTTATTGTTATTTTATTGTATGACGATGTTCAGAATTATAACCAATATTTTTGTGTATCATCCATCACATTTTAATAAGACTATTTTTATTATGAAAATACTTCTTTAAAATGATTATTTGCATTAAATTTTAAAGCCATCCTATTACTTGCTGTTTCTATTCCCATTGGTTCACAGAGGAGGAAAACTTGTAAAGCAATTTTACAACCAGAATAATAAAGCAATTTTACAACCAGAATCATACATGTTTGAATCAATTTTATAGCAAATGGTTAATTCTATTTTTAGAAAATCTGTTATTTAAAACTGATTTTGAACAGATAAATGCAAGATCAAGTTACTGAATAATATTGATTTAAATTTTTGATAATTTAACTTACAAGCTGCAAGAAAATTGATAAACATATATGGTTTTGGTTTGTAAAACTTGTGTGCATGTAACAATTACTTTTAACATGTAGAGATGTCCTGGCGTTTGATTGATTGTTGGTGTTTTACACCATTCTAATAGAAAAACAAAGGATATAGGGTATCTATCCATGACACAAAATCAGTACATGCACAGCAAAAAACTCACAAAAAGCAAAGGAACAGTGCTTTTATTGCTGTTCTTCATCTCAAAGTCACAGTGAGGCCTTAACATGGAGCAAAAAAACTCCCACCTCATTACAAGTTTAAGACGACCCTTAGCACCAGTTTGAGCGGAATTCTTTGCAAAATAATTCGGATAGACTTTGTAAGATGTAACACCACCAAATCAGGCATAGGTGTAAATATCAAAATATGTAGAATATATTTTGGTAATTTAGGTATCAAATGAAAGGACTGGTGATCCTTGTAGAACACATTTTGACTGATAGTTTTGAATAATACAAAAATGTATCAATGAATTCTAAAAATGAGCTCATATATTGCCTGTTTCTTTGATATGAAGTAGGCTATATTGTGGCCACAGTTTTTATTGGAAGAATTTGGAGTGCTTGGGGAGAACCATCAACCTAAGGCAGGAAAAGTGGCATTCCATATTAATAAAATCGCACATGCCATGTGAGGGGTTTGAACTCTCAAGTGGGTTTTTGACCTAAATCATACATAACTTACATATTAAAACAACTTAGATATTATAATACATATATAATGGCAGGCGGAAACCCAGTTGAAATTAAACAAAAGAAATGGAACTCTTTGTTAGAGAAGGTAAAAAAAGCCAAGTTGGTAAATTTGAATTGTTTACACCTGTTTCAATGGCTTTTAAAAGGTTAATGAATGTAAAATTGGGAATGGAAATGGGGAATATGTCAAAGAGACAACAACCAGACCAAAGAACAGACAACAGCCGAAGGCCACCAATGGGTCTTCAATGCAGCGAGAAAATCCCACACCCGGAGGTGGTCCTCAGCTAGCCCCTAAGTGCATTATTTAAGATTTTATGCATCTTATATATGTGATTTTACTTAAATTATGGCATAGAGGTTCGAGATATTTGTAAACTTTTAAATTATAGACAGATTTCACAAAACAGTCGATTGGGTTAGGAGCAAATACATGTGTGGATCTTTTTTGTGCATAATCATAAGTTCCGCTGAAAAAAATTCCAAAGAAAGATAATAGATTGATTTTTTTAAAGTTTTAATTTGCATCTCTGCCCCCAGCGACAGTTTTTTAGGAAAAAATCCCAAAAAGGGCAACTATTTCATCAAAAAGAGAGGGTCAAGTGCACCTTTTTATGTACAGGCGTATTTGAGTTGACTATTCTGTCTTGAAAACGTATAAAAGAAAAATATTTGATACATCATCCCACTTAATTTTCTATTATTTTTATATATTTAGGCTATAGGTTTATATAATAACATTAAAAACTTACAGTTCTAAGAAATGAAATATATGGGTCAAGTAAAATATGTTTCTAATGAGTCATAACAACAGAGTAGGTGTGTTCGTATTACAAATTTTTACTAAAAGTACTTGACGACAGACTTTACAAGTGGATCTTTAAAAATGCACAACTTCAAAAAAACTTCATGTTTTGTGTGTGTGTTATATAGGGTAATTAGTCCCCAACCTCTGAAGATTTTTAGTCTGCCCTTCCACGAAATAATTAATTAGAATTTTTAAAAATATTTTTGAACTTTTCCTCCTTACATGTATTAAGAGTACTGAGTTAACCAATTTTAACACCTCAATGAATCTTAATTTGGTGAAAAAGCAGAAATTTCAAATTTTGCCCACCTTTGGATCAAATGTATGACCTTAAGAACACTGGTCATATCTCCAGCATGATAAAATAGTTTATTATACTCCCATTCTATGAATGAGGCTATAATGCCTCCTCCTTGTCTGTCCATCTCTCCATTTATCCAAAACAAATGTCCATCTAACTATTCTCAGCCACTACTGAGTACAATGAACTTATATTGGTCAACAGCTAGAGAGCAATGAGTTGTAATGGATGATAGCTGTTTTATCTGTCCGGTAGCTGCATCTTCTTTGCCTATACTTATAAGTTTTCAATAATTTGACTGAAATTATAACTGTTCATCACATATTTCTCCACTACTATTAAAGAATGAATAATCACTCAGTATAGCACACTCACATAAATTTTCATACCTGATTTCAGGAAGCTAATTTTCAGTTCCTGAGAAATGTGCAACAGAAATTTCATGGGATGGACATTAATTTTTCTGCTTCCCATCAATATTCAATACCGTACTCGAAGAGTCGGATACTAATCTATCATGTAACTTGGTGTACAGATGCATAAAAGGATAGAACTACCGGTACACAATTAAAGTTCTGGCATCAGATCTATTGCTTAACCTAGTATAGGAATATGTCTAAGGGAAAATAAGTCTCTCACAAAAAGGAGGCAATTCTGACCATTTTATGCTTCACTGAATATTCAATTGTATAAGGTTTTTGCATAGTTTAGATCTCTGATACTATGTGAAAACCATATTCTGAAAGTGCAGAAATTTTCTCAAATGTTTTATTGCGAAAATTGCAACAGGAAAGGGTTTGCAAAAATCAAAACTCACATTTTAAATTTAAATATCACTTTGTATAAACATCATTCAGGGGCGTTTCTAGGATATTTGAAAGAGGGGGTGTAGAATCAAATCTTTGGGCGAGCGGAGCGAGGCGAAAAAAATTTTGGACCTTTTTTTTGCTAAAAAACATAAAATAATTGTGAAATGCACTAATGTAACAATATGAGCAGATTAAGATAGTTTTTTTTTTTTTGTAAAGGGGGGCGTACGCCCATTACGCCCTCACCTGGACCCACCCCTGTCATTGATTCGGCATGAGTTTATCTTTAACTGACCTAATCACAAACTTTAACAAAAGTATTGACGCCTCCTGAAACAGCATGCCCAAGTCTTGCCTGTACTAATTAGAGGCAAGACAAAAGTAATAGCATCAAAAAATAAAAGCCCTAAATTGAAAACAAAATATTATTGTTATACACATATGTACATTCAGTCCTACAATTTGTCAATACCTATATTTTGTCATTGCACAGTCACATTTTTCTTGGACTGCTAATGACGTCTTTTTGCTAAATCCATTGTATGTTGGATGTGTACAGATTGGGTATTTTAGTCTTAGATACATGATTTTTTTATTAGTTGTTATTTGCTTTGAACTAGCTTTCAGTAACTGCAAGTACTCTCAAATCTGTACTTTGCTTCTTTTGTGTTTTTGTTAGGGTTTGGATCTGATGAGTTGAGTCCCTTTTTTTAGCTCACAGTTCCGAAGGAACTGTAAGCTTTAGCCATCACTTGGCGTCCATCGTCGCCGTCCGTCTGGTGTAAACTATTTCAAACATCTTCTCCTCTGAAACTACTGAACCAATTCCAACCAAACTTAAGCTGAATGATCCTTAGGGTATCTAGAATAAAGTTTGTGTTTTATTTTCTGTTTCTTCAAAAAACATGGCCGCCATGGCTAAAAATAGAACATAGGGGTAAAATGCAGTTTTTGGCTTATATCTCAAAAACCAAAGCAGTTAGAGCAAATTTGATATGGGGTAAAAGTGTTCATAAGGTAAAATTCTATCAGCCTAGAAATTTTCAGATCAATCTAATAACCCATTGTTGGGTTGCTGCCACTAAATTGGTAATTTTAAGGAAATTTTGCAGTGTTTGGTTATTATCGTAATTAGTACTAATGATAAAGATAAACTGTAAACAGCAAATATGTTCAGCAAAGTAAGATCTACAAATAAGTTTAATGACCAAAATTGTCAATTGATCCCTTAAAGAGTTATTGCCCTTTAAGGACAATTTTACACAATTTGTTTATCATGTTTTCTAACTTTAAAAAATCTTCTACTCTGAAACCACTGAACCAATTCCAACCAAACTTAAGCTGAATGATCCTTAGGGTATCTAGAATAAAGATTGTGTTTTATTTTCTGTTTCGTCAAAAAACATGGCCACCTTGGCTAAAAATAGAACATATAGGTAAAATGCAGTTTTTGGCTAATATATCTCAAAAACCAAAGCAGTTAGGGCAAATCTGATATGGGGTAAAAGTGTTCATAAGGTAAAGTTCTATCAGCCTAGAAATTTTCAGATCAATCTAATAACCCATTGTTGGGTTGCTGCCACTAAATTGGTAATTTTAAGAAAATTTTGCAGTGTTTGGTTATTATCGTGAATAGTACTAATGATAAAGATAAACTGTAAACAGCAAATATGTTCAGCAAAGTAAGATCTACAAATAAGTTTAATGACCAAAATTGTCAATTGATCCCTTAAAGAGTTATTGCCCTTTAAGGACAATTTTACACAATTTGTTTATCATGTTTTCTAACTTTAAAAAATCTTCTACTCTGAAACCACTGAACCAATTCCAACCAAACTTAAGCTGAATGATCCTTAGGGTATCTAGAATAAAGATTGTGTTTTATTTTCTGTTTCGTCAAAAAACATGGCCACCTTGGCTAAAATTAGAACATAGGGGAAAAATGCAGTTTTTGGCTAATATATCTCAAACACTTAAGCAATTACCGGTAGAGCAAATCTGATGAGAGGTTAAAATGTTCATTAGGCCAAGTTCTATCAGCCATGAAATTTTCAGACGAATCTAATAGTCCATTGTTTGGTTGCTGCCCACTAAATTGGTAATTTTAAAGAATT